CAGAGAGAGAGAAAGAGAGAGAGACAGAGGGAAAGAAAGAGGGAGAAAAGAGAGGCGATACAGAAAGAGAGCAAGAGACTAAAAGAGGGAGAGAGTGGGAAATTGAAAGAAGAGAGAAAGAGAAGGAAAAAGAAGGAAAACGAGAGGAAGAAAGTAGGGGAGGGAGAGAGAGTGAGTTCAGTTTGGATGATATTTTAAAGCAGAGTGATTTACGACTGCTCCATTTTACTCTACATGATTTATTACACACACACACACTCAACCACGCATATTTGAGACACACACGCGCGCACGATTGCAGAACATACCTGATCTGACACACGTACACATTTCAGCGAGTGTGATGGTGTAGAACAGGGGTGCTCAAACTTTTTGTCTTGTGTAGTCAAAGTGCAAAGTTTGTGGTCATTCGAGGAGCAAAACTACACAAAAGAATGTACAAACAAAGAAGGCATGCGGTTTCAAAAGGAGCTTGAAAAGGCAAAATGCATTTAACATTTCACTACATTTCCTTACTAAAATACTTAAAAATACAAATGAAAAAAGAAAAGAAGAATTTAAGCTATAAATCATAAATTAGTTTGTTCTGTCATTGGGTGAGGGGGTGGGTTTAAGGAATCTCTGTGGTGGGCGAAATCAAGTATTCTCACAGGCCAAACATCCACACAGTAACAGGCCAACTTCGGCCCACAGGCCACACTTTGGGCAGCTGTGGTGCAGAAGGATTATACACCTATTAGGGCTCGACTGATGCATTCTCAAGGATTTATGGGTATCAGTGAAAGTGCTGTCAATGATGCTACTTGTTTTCATTTGCAACACACATCTTCAACATTAAGATAATCTTATATCATAAATCATTATCAACATCAATATTATCGATCTTAAATCATATTAGTCAGTAAGGAACTGTTTCACTAAAACTATAACACCATGTCCTAACAGAGAGTGAGTGCTTAAATGTAGAGCAGCATCGCAATGCAAAGCCTTCAGGAGATCTACACTGAACTCAAGACTACATATAAAACCTAGCTAGGCTTTTAGTGTCAGCACATAAACTTATTTTATTGGGATACTAAGGGTATATATTTTACCTTATGTGTGACTAAGCAAATTAATAAATACATTAGTGTTTTTATTATTGAAATTGATCAAATAAATAAAATAATAATAACAAATAATAATAAAATAATACATTTAAAACTAATCATGTAACACATTTATATTAATACATATTTATAATACACAATTAACAATTAAAATGCAGTGAGAGTAACCTATAGCAGACAGGACTGGTTATTTGGTTCACCATCTTTGGTGACACCTCAATAAAACTGCTAGCTCAGCTAAACACGGCATTTCTGTTATTTGTAATGTTTGTACCTATTCGTAACTATTGAGTTTTTATTACAAGCCTTCGGAAATACAATTAAGTCTTATTTTTCCCCTCCACATACACGGATCAGGCATAACATTATGACCACCTCCTTGTTTCTATGCTCATTGTCCATTTTATCAGCTCCACTTACTATATAGGTGCACTTTGTAGTTCTACAATTACAGACTGTAGTCCATCTGTTTCTCTGCATACTTTGTTAGCCCCCTTTTACCCTGTTCTTCAGTGGTCAGGACCCCCGTGGACCCTCACAGAGCAGGTACTATTTGGGTGGTGGATCATTCCCAGCACTGCAGTAACACTGACGTGGTGGTGGTGTGTTTGTGTGTTGCGCTGGTCTGAGTGGCTCAGACATAGCAGTGCTTATTTTATGCCTGATCAGTGTATGTGGAAAATAACCAGTTTGTTTGGTCATAGAGATTCGTCCTTTTTTCCACTTCATGGATGAGTTTTCATCCATTTTATGGTGAAATGGCAAAACAACACAGCGCATCAAAAACAGAACTGGGAATCCCACAAAAAAGGTGTGTTGCATCACATCGAACTGCACAGACAGTACAGACAGCTTCACTGATTGTAAAGGGAGGATCTTAGAGTCTGATTAGTTTTTGATCACATTAATTAATAATGCCTGACATTGTTAGTTTTTTAGCTTCTTAAAATCAGGATTGTATTCTATTGTTGGCTAAGTCATTTCTCTCCCTCTCTCTTTCTCTCACACACACACATACACAGTTGTTTTGTTTTTGGCTGCAAGAGTGAGAGGATGTGTTGTGCAATGCCACGAAACAACTGGACTCCCCGACTGCTGCAATACATCAACACATCCAAAACAGCCATTAACTCTAACTCAAGTGAGTCAATTAAATCAACACAGATTGCTTAATCACTCACTCTCCACATACACACATATATACACAAAGGAACACATACACACACACACCACACACACACACACATACACACACTGATTGAGAAACATACACACCCACACACTGAGAAACACGCACACAGGGCCAGATGAGCCGTGCCAGAGGTGAACGTATCTACATTTTTCATTAACGGATATTTACATTGGAACTTTGATGGCTCCAACTGCTGGTGATGAACGAGAGCGGGTGTGTGTTTAAGTCTCATTTAAGTGGAATTTAAAAAACACACACACAGTTAAACTCTGTCATATGGTGCTCTGGTTTCCACAGTGAAAACAACAGGATTTAAGAATATGTGAATATAAAACAGTTGTCAGTTGTTTTAAACAGTTCAACTGTCCTGTGCTCTCCCATACATACACACACACACACACACACACACACAGCTTGTTTATCCCATCCCCAATATAAACATACACATGGGCCATTTATCCTATACAGTCCAACACATTCAGCCACCCACACACCAACACACACTTTCACAAATGACTGGCCTGCAAAAAGCACAAATAGGCCAAAAACAAAAGCCAAAGCACAAAAAGACAAAAATCTCATTGCGATACTTTAAGACATTTTCACGATACACGATATGCATCATGATATTTAGTTTTTCTGAAATTTAAGATGCTGGAACTGACAAAACATGTAGTGCTACATGCAACAATACTACAATGATAAACCTACAACTACATTTCTATCCAGTGTTTTATAAACTGCACTGAACTAAATCTCATTAAACAGCACTAATTATGCTCTGTATGTAATGAAACATGCAGTCAGTCAGTGTTCTTTAAGTACTGATGATCTCCAAAACATGCTCAGAAAAGCATATTGTAGCATAAATTACAACGATAACGATAAAATATTGTCATATTGCCCACCCCTAAGCAAACACCCTTCTGTAAGCAGCTGAACCCAGAGCTCCCTCAGTAACAGCAGTCCTATTCAAACTGACCTCAGTAATGGAATTAGAAAAAACTGCTAACAGCCACGTAGGCCTACCATGCTGTTACGGTCACTGAGCTTGACATGTATCACTGGTGTGAACGTTCAGTCCGACAGAATACTTTAATCTCTTACAAATGACATCACAGCATCTACCCTGACAACACTAAGCTAGCTCCATTTATGCTGAACAGAAAGCACCACGGTGGACTGTCTGGAGAACCGGTCCTAATCTGGTTAATAATGTTAGCTGTACTTTCTGTTTTTTTACCTAAAGCTGACAAATTTGCACGTATGCAAGGCTTTCAGAAGAAACAAAGTCACCACTGATGCAGAAGATATGCATGTAATAATCTCAGCAGGATTTAAACAGCCTTTTCCTCTATTAATCACAGATGAATGTGCAATGCTCTGTAAATTGTGCCACCACAGTATTTTATCATTATATTTATTACATCCTTATGAATATGTTGTGAAAGCTCCACTTAATTTCTCAACTGCAAAGAAGTTTCTTGTTCTCCTTTGTTTTCACTTCAAATTTCTTATCATTAATCAAGATCAGGGCAACACTGATCTTTCCTCTTATTTTCTCTCCTGGCTAAATGATGAGCTCAACCCTAATTTCAACACATTTACTGAATGGTGAAATTTCATCTGGAAGACTGCATTCCTCAGGCTTTATTTCCCTGCAGCATTTTTGCGGTCTGTTGATCAAATTTTTTGGATTGGATAATAGTCATCTATGCATTTATATTAAGATTTTTTTTTCTTTTTTTTTATACATATTATTTTGTGAGTGGACACAATATTGTATTTGGTTTGAGAGGAAAAAAAAACTTGTGAAAGTAAATATGTAAAAGTTAGAGGTTTAGTTCAAGACATCTCCCCAGAGAAGGTGCAAAAGCTCCCTTTAGCATTAGATCCTCATCACAAAGACAGAAAGGTGCTCACAAATTGGCTGCTGTTCTTATTTTACCCTAACAGTATGTAGGTTTAAGCATCATCATCCTGAGCATAATGAACTCATGTATAAGCACAATTTAATTTTCACAGTATATAGACACTTCTTAAAGGGAGGGCATTTTCCCCTCATTTTCTTTATATGTATTCAAACACGACTGTTTAGCATGTTTTAATTTGGTTAAATGTCCTAAAAATAATTTTCATAATACTAAAAACATACAAATAACACCTCACTGACACTGCATTTTTACTGTAAATGCTAAATGTGTCAATAAATGCCAAGTTGAGGCAATATCATGGTGTGTTACTGGTATTCTTGGCCTTTTTCTTGTTGCATCATCACTGGCACTGGTGCATGTTAAAGGTCTTATCATAAAGCAGTCTGTGGTCCATCATTAATACCATATTAGTGATCAGTACGATATAAACACTAACAAACTAATACATACACTAATAATAGAGGTACTATATTTTGTAAATAGCACAACTGGCATTATTAATGAATCCTTTATAAAACTACTAACTGCACTTCCACTGCCAACAAGCACTGCATCCTAAGCTTTTATAAATGCCCATCTAGTATCCTTGTAAAGCTCGGTCTATGCTCATTGTTTTCTATGTTTATGAGGGCTGGACTGATTTAAATGTACCTCAGTGGCCAGCCCACAGGAGCTTATAGAGTGAGATTAGTCTTTTTCATGTGCAGTGTAAGTAATTTATATATGCACTGCAATTCATTATGAACACATCATATATGGTGGTACCTGTTCCTGCCGCTCGATCCAGCGGTCCACCATGGGGTGATTGGCGCTTAAGGAGGAGCGGGCAGTCTCTCGCTGAAACTCCCTCTGATTGGACCAATGGCCTGCATCCCGAGGGAGACTCCGATACGTATCCAAACCTCGACCCTAGGTCAGACAGAGAGAGAGAGAGAGAGAGAGAGAGAGAGAGAGAGAGAGAGAGAGAGAGATAGATAGAAAATAGATAGAGAGATATTGAGACAGCAAGATTGAGAGATCGGGGATATTGACAGATATTGAGAGGGAGGTAAAATAACGTATTCAGTTAGAGAGAGATATTGAGAAAGATAGGACGAGAGAGAGAGAGATTGAGAGGGAAGTACAGGTTCATAAATCAGCAGCTGTGGATTTTATGACTATGTTGCAGTAATCATTAGTCTGCTAGATCGGCGTCAGAAGATGAGATGATGGTATAGCTGCACACATAAATCAACTTTACTTCCTAAACACACACAAACACACTCACACACACAGTAAATCAGACAGCACCAGGGACGTGTTGTGTGTGAGAGATAAGGTCAATATGAGTGTGTGGTGATGGCTGTGCTCTTCAGAACTGGAGATGGAAAATTTCACATCCAGTCATATGCGACTGTAATGAAAGTGCTGGATCTCTACAGATCTACACCTGCCCACGTTTACCATACAGCACACACTTCCTCCACTCCAACACTGCTGATGAAGCACTATTCTCCTTGCCTGCTCTGTGGAAGCACCTGAATCTTGCAAGCTTTCACTTTGTTTTCATCCAGATTCAGTCTGCCATTAGTCTAGGGCTGAGCAATAGATCAACTATAGGTATATCTGGTATGTGTCAGGTACTTTTTAAATTTGCTATATATATATGTATCTGCATATATATATATATAGTGGCATAATATGCCAGATAATACTAGTGAATTTGTTATGATTTTAAGTAAGTGTGTCAAATAGCATAACATTCTATTTAAGCTTAAATTAATGATCCAGCAAAAAACCACTTCCACTTACCCCTAGACGCAATCAGTCAGCCAAGACAAGTTAGATGACCAAAATTTGCTGCTTTGGTTTAGCAATGGAGCTACAAGGTGTTGCTAATGTTGCTAACAAACACAGGAAGTCAATAGACACCCAAATCCTTTGAGGAAACACAGCCTCTAAACTTCTCCCAACCCACTGAAACTGTATCCACGTTTTGATTAAGGTCACGCAGACGTGTCAATGTGGTTTAATGAATATTTTGACGTACCATAAACTATAAAAGTGAACAAACCTTCACCGTGTAGCTGAGCGCTGCAGTCAGCCTTTTTAGATAACAGGTATTACGCCGAATTCTGTGCAGAATCCAAACTCGCCTGACATTCATGAAAGTCATGTGCATGTTTGCATTTGCATACCTTCAATTTAAAATTCCAGGAGAGACAGTTATTAACAAAAGTAAGCAGAAATTACAATAGTCACATAATCCGTGGCCTCCATATGCCTGCGTGTGAAGAGGAGACATAATTTTACATAATACCTGTTGTCTACTAATAGCTGCCCCACGCATTCACCAACACAGTGAAGTTTTGCTCATTTTTATAGTCATTCTGTGTCCTAAACCACACTGACAAGCCTGCGTGACCTTAATAAAGAGCTAGATGATGTTCGTTTCGGTTGAGAGAATTTTTGAGGATGTTTTTACAGAAAAGATTTGGGTGAATACTGACTTCTAGTGTTTGTTACTCTCGTAGCTCTAATCTTAAACTAAAGAATCAAAATCTGGACACTAAAACATGTCTGAAGGATTAAAAAGATGTTATCGTAAAGCTAGCATAGTATTTGGAAATTCTGGAAAGTGAAGATGCTTCTGCAATGCTTATCTTATCTGGAGTCAGGACACAGATCTGAACTTGGGAAATGTTATTTTGTAACAGCTACTGTTCCCAAGTCTAACTCAAGTTGTCATGGTGACTATACAGATAAGATGTCAGAGTTAGGATGCTCCTGAACATGGGTCCTGGTCATCTGAACATCTGCATATCCATCTCACCATATTACAGGGCATAATATAAAGCACATGTGGCGGGACACTGACTGTTATTCCAGTGGGAAAGAGAACAGCTGTAGTTTTGATATACCACCAGAAGACTGATATAGAGGGGAAAGGCGGTAAAGTTCAGCGAGAGAAGAGTTCATGGAGCACGGTGGGATACTTAAATAAAGCTGCTTTATTTGGAATCCACTAGAGACCCTTCTTGCTTTTTTAAGAGCCCTAGCAGACATTCTTTTCTCAGGGTCCAACATTTTCAACCCTGCCCTGCTCTGCCATTACTGAACTGGATTTTCTACATAATCATGTGCTGTACCTTCCTCTCCAGACTGCTAGTCCCAGTGGAGTAGCGGGGTTTGAGGAAGCCTGCTGTGGTGGACCAGCGTGTGGGGTTCTTTCTAGAAGGCTCTTCAGGCTGAGTGCGAGGCTCAGAGAACGATATTGCTGCCAAGCTCAATAATGCAGGATCACTACTGCGCCTCACGTGCAACGGCATGTCTGTCAGAGACAGAAACATTAAAAGAAAGAAATACATCAGTATTACTAAATCATCTAATTATACACAAAACATCTTCATTACAAATACATACATAATCCACAAAGAGAAGTGCTTGCCAAAGATAGTTCAGGCTTTAGTTTCCCTCTCTCACAGACAAGTTTATAATCTAAATAGCTGCGTCTGAAACATTAAACACACGTTCTAAAAGCTGCTGTTGACAGCGTGAAGCTTGTTCAGACAGACTACAGCTTTGTGTGAGCTTATTTTAAACACTACACCAGAGGCCACAAGTTCCAGTATTCCAATGACCTTAAAGGGGGAATTCCACAAATTTTATAAAACATCTGCATAATTAAATGATTAAAATGTAAACAAAGTCATTCAGGGTGGTTTGATGTGAAATGCTTTCTAGAGAAACAGTCTTTTACAAGCAATTTTGGGGCATTTCTATTTGTCTATTTAACACAAAGTTTACAAAGAATGTAAAGGGCAGCTAGTTTTTTTTTCAAATTATGCCAAACAAGCAAGCAAACAAACAAAAATGGAGATACAGGGTTTTATTTGTTCTGGATTTCTATACACATCAAAACACTTTTTTGGCCACTGAAACTACACCATTTTGAAAGCACTTATAGCTGGATCGATTTAAAAATGTTTTCCTTGTGAACTAAATCAGGGAAAAAGATTTTCAAAAATGCTACTGCTTATAACAACAATAACAATATAGCACAATACACAGTTGTATGTAGACGTTTGAACACCTCTGGTCAAACTGTGTTTTGTCGATTTTCTAAGTGAAAATAAATTAACACATTCTCTACAGCGATTAAACTTAAATACACTATTGTTCTGTAAATTTTAGTGCACAATTTCTATTCATTTGCTGAGTTGCACATACTGGAAAAAATGAAACAAAAATATAATGTGCCATCATTTTTGCACAGGCAACATTTTATGTTTAATTTTTTTTCCAGTAGGTGAAAAATCAGCAAATAAAAAGTAATTGTGTATTAAAATGTGCAGAAGTGTGTTTCGACTTAGGAAATCAACAAATACAAATCAACAGGGCCCAAACTTTTGCATTTGACAATTTATATATATATATATATATATATATATATATATATATATATATATATATATATATATATATATATATATATATATGTGTGTGTGTGCGTATTTATTGTAATAACACACACACACACACACACACACACACACAAATATATGTATACACACATACACACACACAGTCTCTCACTGTAGCACTTACTGGTGCGCAGGGCAGAGGGTGTGACCTCTATCTCACTGTTACTGTTGGGTTGGTAGGTGTGGAAGGGCTGGAAAGCGGAGAGAGGAGTGGAGGAGGATATATCCGCAGAGAAGAGGTCAGGAGACTGAGTACCTGTAGAGCTCGCACTGGTCCCATCACCTCCAGCATGAGGCTCCTGCTCCTCATACACTGCCACCAACTAGAGAGAGAGAGAGAGAGAGAGAGAGAGAGAGAGAGAGAGAGAAATTATTATAATAGCTGTATTCACTCTACTGCTTCTATTATTAACATTGATATTACTCATATTTATGAGTGCTTTAAGCCCTTAAAACTGCACAGGCCTGTATGTGGGCCCAAACCTCTACATGACTTCACACGCTAGTGTCATAGTAGCTATCGAACAACAACAAGCAGTTACTGAATAGTAAGTTGTTAGATTAATAACTGAATAACACACTTGGCATTCAAATGTTTAAATGGGAAGTCAAATGTTTTTTCTGCTTTATTTAATTGAGATAGAAATTACAAAGTAATTCAGAGTGGTCTGATGTGAAATAGTTCACTGCACAGGAACTTAATTCTGATTTCTTTACAATTGTAGTGATAGGAACCAGAATTGGTGGCAAAAAAAAGTGGTAAATCCAGTCAGGAACTATTTTGCCTTATAATGCACGGACTGAAAGCAGGCCAAAACCTTCTCAAAACTATTGTTAAACCCTGTCTCAGGCATCAGGCAGCATATTTGTAACCATTTCATACAATGATATGAGGCACTACATTTTCTGGATGTCTGGTTCCTACCACCACCACTGTGAACAACTCTGACTTCTCTAGAACAGAGCATTTCACATCAAACCACTATGAACTTAATACCTTAATATTTTTATTTCGAAACTTGGAACACTGGAATTACGATTTAACATAAAAATGAACGCACTTAAAAACAAAAATTTCATTTATAAACATAAAACATACTAGAAAAGATTAAGTGGAACAAAATTAAATACACTTCTATACTTTGAGAGTTTAACTGGGAAACCGTTAATACCACATATTTCAGTTTTTACTGAACTCGAGGACCCATGGTTTAGATTAATAGTCGTGTGGTTTAAGAAGCACACTCAGTGGGTGTGTGTGTGTGTGTGTGCCCTGTGAGACTTCTCAATTAGAGCAGTGTGTTGACGTTCCCATGACTGAGTCCCTGAAGACACTGAGGTATTTGGGACAGAGGGAGGCAACTCGAGCTTTAAAGAGGCCATCTGATTCTAATTATATATGTATATATATATATGTATATATGTATATATATATATGTGTGTGTGTGTGTGTGTGTGTGTCAATTTGACTGCTGCATGACTGTGTGTGTAAGTGAGTGAATGTGTGAGAGTGAAACAGACAGAGACAGAGTAGGGAATAAAAAATGATTTTGCCTAGTGGGATGTTACTGGTAGGATAGTCACTGTTGGAACAAAAGATTGTATCTAATTTTTTTTGGCCTTTTTTCCCCACTCAGTAGCTGGGCCTCTCCAATCACACAATACTACCAGTGCTAAGAGGGTAAAGGCTGGCATATGCTTCCTTAGAGTCATGGGAAGCCAGCCAACTGCATCTTTTCACGAAACTGCCAGTGCTGTTAGGTCAGCTAACAGACGCCTGTGCTGGCAAGCATCGCACTGAATGATGGGGGAGAGGGAGGGACATCCTACCCACCCAAAGAGACCGAGCCCAGTTGTGCTCTCTTGGACAGCCAGGGATCAAACTCGCAATCTCCTGATAATATGGCCAATGCTTAGATGGTTGCATCACTTGGGCAATGATTTCGAATGTGTTTCAGAGAAATGCTCAGTTTTCATTTTTAATCACAGCCCAGTTATAGCTTTCTTTTCTCATAATGACCCTGTTTCAAACCAAAAAGAAATGTGTATTGCTTTAATTGTCTATACTCAGTTGTGTAAATTGTTCAGTCATTCAGACCAGTCAGGGTATTTTTAAAAAACGTTTTGAATCAAATCAAAACAATCCAGATGAAATGTGGTAAAATGTTAGATCCATGATGCACTAAAACATAATCAGACTGAATTAAGAGGTCATCACTACAATCATTATATACAAACACACACAAACAAAAAGCTTAGCTTAATATGAACACTGTGCTTAATGAATGTAAAGTTGTGTGCAAAAGTTTGAACACCCAAACTCAAATGATGTTTTGTTGATTTTCTAAGTGAAAATAGGTTAATTCATCAAAAGGGAACAAACTTAGATATTTCTCTGTAAATTTTAGTGCACAAATTCTATCTGCAGATTTTGATATATTCAAAAAAGAAAAACGATATTTAAACTGTGCCATAACTTTTGCATATGCCACATTTAATGTTTTATTTTTCCCCCAATAAGATTATTTCAGCTAATAAACAGTAACTGTGCAGAAGTGTGTTCCATGTACAGGATCCGGTTACTTATTTTCAATTTGAAAATCAACAAAACATGTCATTTGACCAGGGGGCCCAAATATTTGCATACGACTATATGTAAAAACAGTACAAGAACAAATACGGCCTTGGTGTTTGTGTATGACCTAAACCGGCAAAGATTCACCGTTAGACAGCCTATTATAGATGTCCTGTTATAGTGCAGGCCATATTTGTCCCTGTACTGTATTCAGTTCATATGCATACAGTCTAATGTTTCTCCTAGGGGCTTCATCAGCGTTCTCCCAACGGTGCTGTAAAGGGTATTCATGTCTTGTACAGAGCAAAGAGGCTGGAAATCAATTGTGTGTGTGTGTGAGTGTGAGAGAGAGAGAGACACAGAGAGAGAGAGAAGAGAGAGAGAGAGAGAGAGAGAGAGAGAGAGAGAGAGAGAGAGAGAGAGAGAGAAGTGTGTGAACACTACACCATTTTAACAGTCAGTTCCTAATGAGACTACAACCCAAATCTACCATTTTACCCCACTAGAGCTGAACCAGACCCCCCCCCAACACACACACACATGCATACAGAAAGTACTCACTGCTCTTCACACTCTGTGAACACATGAAGTGAACACCATTAACTGTCCCTACATTATAATACATTTCCATGAAATCTGTAAAGTGCTGTTATTTTGCAGGTGAACAGTTGATGTGTCTGCTTTTTCCCCAGTCAGCAGTATATATAGTTCATTACTACAACACTGTCACATCAGCAAGACTGGGAGAGAACCAATGCTCAGTCACCTGTACCCACCGGGACTTATTTAACTGAGACACACACCCCACACACCCCCACACCCAGAGGGGACGCTCTGTTACACGCGTCCCGCATGAGCATAATCAGCGTAACCCCCCTGCACAGTTCAGTTGTAGGTGTTTTATTACTCTTTCTCTTAGAAAACAAAGCCATAAAATCAAAGTAATAAAAAAATGTAATCAACTAAATAAGAGAATATTAGCAGTTTCAGGCAGATGTGTGTGAATACACAACAGAGAGGATCAATAAAACTGGTGTTGTAATCAGGGCCAACTGATATGAAAACAGTCACAAAACTCATTAAAGGGCCTTTATCTTACATTTCTCTTGTATTGTCTCACCTGTGTGGGTTTATATAATAAATACTGTCATAATTCAACAACGTGTTTTCATTACTGTGCTTTTAAGACAGATATATGTAAATGAGCCTTGCTCTGATTGGCTGCTTTGCACTGTAAAGCAGTCTGGGATGAAACACTCACACTAACTAACTTTAGTGTGAAACAAAACCTTGTATCTCAATTTTGTTTTTTGTTTTTTTATTTTTACATAATTTGAATGGGTGGAGCCTAACTGCTGTAGACTGAATAGGTGGACATTTGTAAGATCACCAAAAAAAAAACAACAATGAATTCACAATGGTTTTTTGCAGCTCAATTTCCAAATATGAACTGTGTGAACTGTGAAACTTTTGCATACATCAAACTCTTATTTGACTACAAATAAAGAAATTGTGGTTTTCCATGATATAAAGTCCTTTAAGGGTGAACAATTTGACTGAAGTACAGAAAAGGCCAAACCACAGAAACATATGCATTTTTAAATATATCTGCATTAACTGGGCCAAAGCCTGGGAGGAAAAGGTGTAACAAATGATTTAACTACATTGTCCAAAAATTAGGAAAAAATAATTTTTTACTTTTAACTCTAAATTTACATCTGTGACATTGTCATGTCTTTTCCGAGAGTCTCTCATTAGTTGTTTTTTGGAATACTTTAGCAACTGATATGACTGTAGTTTGTTAGTTATGAACTATCAGATATCACTGTCCGTTGTCAAACTGTCTCAATTGTCAAATTCCTAACATTTAAAACCTCAAACACTTTAAAAGTATGAATAATGTAGCACTATGGATGGAGCTTCTTAGAGCTTTTATCGTTTTTTTAATTACTTCTTATTCTCACACAAAGGCTTTATGCTTCTGTTGTTCTAACAGCTTTGTGTTGAGACTCACTAGATCTTAGTGAATAACAAATGTGCTGTAACTGATCTAAGCATCTGTCTTAGTAGTCTCCATAAGAGCAGTATAAAAATATGAAGCCTTTACAGTTCTCAGACTGCATTAGCATTAGAGGTGTCCCCATTAAAATACAAACCAAGCAATTTCAAAACAACACTAACATCATTGCTAGGATATTCATAGAATCCAACTTTGTTGAAACTAAAGAAAGCAGCATTATTGAGTCAGAATGAAAATAAAAGCTAATATTCGGTGTGCGTGTGTTTCTGCTAGTTGCCCTCTATAGCCTGAAATTGGGCAAGTCACATTTTTTCGGAAAACATCACACATCTTTACTTATTAACACCACCCACACAGGATCAGAAAGAAGGTCCGACTCAATGTTTAGGTCTTTAAAGCAAAATCAACAGTATACTGGTAAAGATATGATGACAACAGTAAACCATTCACTTCTATGCTCGGAAGACACGTCCTTCACCAAGTTTCGGCTGAGTTCTCTTTAAATATTCTTTCTACATGCTTGCAATCATCAGATTAGTCCGCTCGTGAAGGTCCAAAGTACAACCAACATTACAAAATGTTCTTCTGCATGTTGTGTGCAGAGAGGTCTACAAATCCCCAAATGTTACATAGTGTAGCTTTAATTTCAGCCCATTTTATCTCTCAATATAAACAATACACTGTTAAGGCCCTAGAAGTAATTCATTCAGTTGTAGCAGTGCCAGCTC